AATTGAAACACAGATGTAGAGAACAAACCTATGGACACCAAGGGGGGAAAGCGGCAGGGGGTGGGTGTGATGAATTGGGAGATTGGGATTGACATGTATACACTGATGTGTAAAAAGTGGATGACTAATAAGAACCTGCTGTATAAAAAAAAAAAAATTTTTTTAAAAGATTAAGTACCAATCCGAGTTTAGGCACTGAGGATAGAACAGAATCAGCCAAAGTCTTTTCCCTAAGGTTGCTTTCAGACTAATGGCCGGGGGGTGGGGGTGGGGAGACACACAATTAATAGTACAATACATTGCAGGTTCTGTAAGAGGCCTCCACGGGGTGCAGCTAGGCCTCAGCAGAGGAGGTGGTCCTTTTGCCTGGGGCGTGACTGGAAGTGTCACAGACTGTATCTCTATAGGAGTTTGCCAGGCGGGCACAGATGGGGAAGGACAGGCTTTCCAGTAGATGGAACAGCATAAGCCAAGGCTTGGAGGTGTTAAACAGCCACACAGCTTCGGCCAACTTCAGGTTCTAAGGGTAGAGGGGCAAAGGGGCAGATGGTTGGGAGGTGTCATGAGACATGAGGATGGTAAGGTAGACAAGAGACACTTCACATAGACCACCGGCGTCCTGTAAAGGAAATCAGTTTTTACCCCATGACAAAGCTGGTCCTGGCCCCTTAGCTCGTTGGCAGTGGTACTGACCCCACTTCTGCTTAAATAACAATTGGGTGCTATAATCCAGATGAAGCATTTGGACGCCATCATTCCAAGATGGCACTCCACATTTGCAGCATGGATCACCCCAGCTAGGCCAGTGCTCTTCTCATCCCTGAGCCCAGATATCCCCAGTGTCAACAGTACTCAGACTTCGCTTTCCTCTTGTGGAGGAGAGACTCTTCAAGGACTTTTAGTTTTACAAGCCCTACCTCATTGTTCCTCCCCAACCTCATGCCCCACAGTCTAGATTCCACGTTTGGCCGTCAGAAAACTTTCCATTCATTACTTGATCTTTGGCCTCATCATCTTTAAAAACAACAACAACAACAAATTTTAAGCACCTATTGGGAATAGAGAGAACCACTGAAGAATTTTAAGCATGTGTGTGACATGATCAGTTTTTCATTTTCAAAAGATCGTTTGATTGCAGTGTGCAGGGCTGGAGGTGGAAGTACAGTCAGAAACTTGTGGTCACCCAGCTGAGAGATTGTAAAGCCTCAATTACACAGTAAGAGCGAGTGAAGAGAAGAGGACTGGACTTGCTCCCTATTGGATGCGAAAGTGGGAGACAAGAAAATGGCTCTAAGGTTTCTGGCTGGGACGTTGTCAGAGGGGGATGCCTCTTCCCCACTCCTCTGCTTCCGTGAAGGACTTTCCCCAAAACACTGCTGGCCTTTTGTCCAGTCCTTGTTCCCGTCCTGAGATGGTGTAAGTTACCTGGTTAATGGGCGGTAGCCATTTGTCCATGTTTCTTAGAGTGAAGTGCCTAGGGTGCAGTTAGTGTGAGGGGTCCACTCCTTTTCTCCTGCCTCTCCATCCTTGAGCGCTGAGAGCACTGGTCCTCTCTGCACACCTGGATGACCTGCACTTGAAGGCTGGAAACTGGCAAGCCCATTCTCCTAATCTCTAGTCTCCAAATTACTGCTTCTCTGTAATCAGGACGATATTTTGGACTGCTGACTTTTGGAGCTAATTTCTCAGTTGGTTCAGATCTCAGTCAGGAAAAGAGAGCTATCAGTACTTTTTAAGGGCACCCTCCCCACACTTAAAGCCCCAAAGCTGTGTTGGTCTAAGGTGCCTATGGGGCATCCAGGTGATGCTGTCCAGGAGAGACAGCTGGAGCGAGGGGCTTGGAACTCAGGAGACGCCTGGCTAGAGACAGAGTTGGAAGACGTAGGCTGGATGAGATGACGGGGGGGAGTGGCAAGAGCAGTGGTCAGTGCTGACTTGCATCCATCCCCAGTGACTCTTGTTAAAATGGAGAGGGTCGGGCTTCCCTGGTAGCGCAGTGGTTGAGAGTCCGCCTGCCGATGCAGGGGACACGGGTTCGTGCCCCGGTCTGGGAAGATCCCACATGCCGCGGGGCGACTGGGCCCGTGAGCCATGGCCACTGAACCTGCGCGTCCGGAGCCTGTGCTCCCCAACGGGAGAGGCCACAACAGTGAGAGGCCCGCGTACCGCAAAAAAAAAAAAAAAATGGAGAGGGTCAGGCCCCAACTCTGGAGCCGGTATATCAGTAAGTCTGGGCTGGTGACAGGAGTCTCTGTTTTCTAGAATAAGCTCAGACATGATTCTGACGCTCACTGAGCAGGGTTGAGGAGCCCTGGTGAGAGTGGGAAGTTCGAAGACAGGCCATAGGACCCACTCAAGGGATGTGTGTGTCTGGGTGTAGCAGGGATTGTTGATCAATATTCGATAATGACCTGTGACTGGTGACATCATTAACAGAAAGGGCTTCCTGGGCAATACAGACTAGGGCCTGGACAGTACACAACCTTGTTACAGAAGAGACAAGCTCATTTCAACTATGAGATGATGTTCTAAAGAAATATATTTAAATGATTGTGCATTCTTGATAACACAATGATTTTTTGTTTTATTTTGTTTTCTAGCAGGATGGCCAGATCTCACAGTTCTAATTAGCCTACATTTCTAGCACTGTATAATTGATTACTTGCCTCCAGAATGAAAGGGGAAAGGGCATCTTGGCTTAAGCAGTGAAAAGGATTACGAGAAATTCACTTGAGTCCATCTTGGGACACCATCTGAAGAAAAGAAATGGAATCCTTTGATTGCTTAATTTAAGGAATTAAATATAGTTTAAATTCTTGATTTAGCTATAAAAATGGGGTTACATTTACACACCTTTAAAGTATTTGTGTGACCCTGGGAAAATTACTCGAGGCCTCTGTGCCTCATTCGGTTTCCTCATCTGTAAAATGGGGAAAATAACAAAACTCATCTCATAAGATCTTTGTAAGGATTAAACGGGACAATACATGTGAAGCATCTAGCATAGTGCACTGGGCACATACCAAACATTCAATAAATACCAGCTGAAAAAGTTTTAGACCAATAACTAAACAGCACTACTACTTACAGATAGTACTAGCTTAACACTCAGTGCTTCTAGCACAGGAGCAGCATAGCAAGATTTAAACTTAATGCATATTTCTCAGGCCTGTAAGAACCAGGGAATTTTCCTGGGCTGGGAAATCGACCACTTTCATGACAGAGCACATTCCTTGGCTATTTGAAAGGTTAGCTTCAAAGATCACTTTGAAAACTCACCTCGCCAGGAACTTATTTGGGTCTGTCTGGATGGCAACATAGCCCAGCTTGGGAAGTGTCTGCCTTGTTTTGTGAGGCAAAGGGATAAAACTAAGGAGGCCTTGGAAGCACTGTGATCCAACAGTGCTGATCAAACAATTATTCACCCGTCAGTTCAATAAATGAGTATCTACTTCATGCTGAGCAAAGTGCTAGGTGTTGGGGATACAAGAGTAAATAAATTCCTTGTCTCCAAGGAGCCTGTGTTTTAGTGAAAGGACAGACATACAAATATGTGCTACCATTTAAATGACGAGTGCCAGGATTTGGGGTATACACAAAATGCCGCGGGAGCAGAGGGGGAGGGGACCCCTTCGGACCACCCAGGCAATTGGACAGATGGTGATATTAATCATTTGAACTGGGGCTCCAAGAAGAGGAGGAGTAGACGTTTAGGGGAGAAGGTAATGAGTTTGGCTTTTGTGATGTTGTCTGAAGCACTTGTGCAATGTCCAAACCAAGATGTCCAGAAGCAGTTGAACGAGTGAGTCTAAAGCTAAGGAGAGAGGTCAAGGTTAGAGACCCAGACTTGGAAGTTATTAGCTGATGGGCATGGATGATAAACTGTCTTGGAAGAATGTTAGAGCTGAGTGATACTGTGGAAGACTAACATTTCAAGGACAGGCAGAGGAAGAGGGGCCAGAAAGGAAAAGGAAGAAAGAATAGAGAGGGAGAACAGGCATCCAGAGATAATGAGCAGAAACAAAAACTCAGGAGAGGATGTTCAAGATAGTCTCAGTATTTTCAAAATATAACTTTAATGACAGAGTTAGTTAGCTACTATTCCATAAAGGATTGCCCTATTTTCAAAGAATTTGCAGTGTCTTACACGTGTGTTAAAAGATTGAGAAAATAAATTAGAACATTATAATGCACACTTAACACTAAAACTACCGAGCACAATATAACTTAGATAGTTCGGAAGGCACTGAGGGATTTTTTTCAGTGCCTCAGGGTATCATTATGAACTCTAATTATTATTGTTCTGTTCAACTGTGGGAGCACTGATAGATGGAGAGTTAATTGCCCTCCGGTTAAACCAACTTTGACTCTGAATGGCAAGGCTGACTAGGAGCAAAAGAGAGGGGGGTATGGGGGCTTCCCTGGTGGCTCAGTGGTTGAGGGTCTGCCTGCTGATGCAGGGGATGCGGGTTTGTGCCCCGGTCCGGGAGGATCCCACATGCCGCGGAGCGGCTGGCCCCGTGATGGCCGCTGAGCCTGCGCGTCCGGAGCCTGTGCTCCACAGCAGGAGAGGCCACAACAGTGAGAGGCCCGCGTACCGCAAAAAAAAAAAAAAAAATAGAGAGAGGGGTGTATCAGGATCCCAGCTCAGGCTAGGATGCCAGCTGACCCAATCAGAGACCTAAAGCCATCAGAAAGAATTAAAACAAACCCCTGTGTGTCTATGCGAGACGGTCACCTAGAGGGAAGTTCAGAGGGCAAATCAACCTCCCATCCCAGTATCCTAATATACTAGAAATGATGGTGACATCAGTATGCATGTTTTTCAAGACCTACCTCTCAATAGCCATCCAAAGGTTTGGATGTGAGTTTATAATGGTCTGACCTACACTTAAAATAAGTTTAATAGAACCAAGAGAAGCTGATTTATAAACTTGTTTCCAAGCCTGAGCTTTCCCTAAGAGGGATCCTCTTGGCTTTAGGAGGGATCCTAACTGACGTTGTAGGCATGGGGGCTACATGCATTGTGTGTCTTCCCTGGGCTCTGGTTATAAGGTCACACCATGCTTGTGAGTTAGCAAGCTGTGAATTCTGTTACCGCCATAGTCAAAGACAACAGGTAAATTCGAGTCAAGGCGTTTGGGGATTGCTCTCCCCAGACTGCCAGATTCGGGCACTGCCATGGCCACTGATGATCTGGCAAAGAACGAGAGTTTTTTCGTGACAATCAAGACCGTCGACATGGGAAAAATTCCCCACTGTTCTTGCTGAGTGAGATTGCTGGATTTAGAAAGGCATTTGCTGAGTTGCACATCTGATGAGAAGGAAGTGGGAAAAGAGAGGTTGGAAAAGGGAAAGGAGCTGGCTGGACGTGGTCCAGGGCTGCTTGCTGCTACCTTGTGCTGTCTGCATGGGGGTGGGTAGCTGTGCTTCTGTTTTCATGAACGTCATCTGGAGTTGGGGGCTAGTCATCATCGTCATCATCCTCTTCGTCAGAATTGTCGTCGTCATCATCACTGTCGTCGTCACCCTCCTCATCCTCTTCATCTTCGCTGTCACCGTCCTCAGTGTTTATCTTCCCAGAAAGCACATCCTCAATCCAGTCTTCCAGCTCCTCAGCTGTGGGCAGGTCATCACCATCTGGAATCTCCATCCAGACACTGTCAGCCTGCAGCCAGAGACAGAATGAGTGAGTGAGCGCACGAAGGGTCAGCAAGGCCAGGGGCTTCCAAGCAGCTGTGCTGAGTGGGCTCCAGGTCACTTACACTTATCAGGAATATGCGCACAGTGTTAAGTGGAAATGCTTAGTTGCAGAATGGTGTGTGTAGTATCCTGTTTGTGCAACATAAAAGGAAAGGTGTATTCCATTGCATATACATATATATTTTTTTTTCTATTGTATGTATAGATAGCCAGTTAGCAATGTCCTTTTACCCTGTTGGTAGATGTTCAGTCACCTGGGAAATTCTACATTTCTTTATTTTGTAAACTACTTTTAAAATTAATAATAATAATAAATAATAATAATTTAAAATTCTGCTTAAGTTAAAACAGAACAGTAGGATACAAGGTGAAAAGCAAAAGTATTTCTGGCTGCCCTGACCCCATCCCTAGTCTCATTGGTGGTAGTTTCATGGCTGTCCTACCAGAAGTTTCATATAGATCCTATATATCATATATATCCATATATTCATGAACACACACACACACACACACACACACACACACAATGGTGATTGCCTCCATGGGCTTCTGGGCCACAGCTTCCCCATCACCCATTGAGCAATAACAACTCCCGGTGTGGGTTCCCTTGTGTAAAGAGAACTTGTTGGGCTTTGGAAGAAAATATAGGAGAGTTTACTTGTGTGGAAAGTTCTAAATAGTCAGTGAACCAGGTTAGGCTGGCTCCCAAAGCAAGGAAATGTGCCCATGGAAGAGAACCATGGAACAACAGGCTGGGACTGGCTCAGACTAGGATTGGGCCACACTGGCAAGTCTCCTGAGCTTTGGCAAGGCCAAGGGTCCTGCTTATTTCACATGGGGCCAGACTCCTATACGTGATCTTATAGTCTGGGCTGCATGGCAGAAACCAGGGCAGACTGAGGGCATCTGAGCAAACTTTCATGAGGTATACTCACATCTGTAACATTCACCACTCCAATCTGTGGCTTGAATAGGTCAATCTTGAACGTCTTTTCCCAATAGGCAACAAGCTGTAGCAACAAAAAATAAAATTAGACAGCGGGCAGAAGGCATTCCCTGTTAAAGCCACTTTTTGTGGCTGGACCCACCTGCCATCCCATCACAGTAATTAGGTCACCATTGGTTAGAGGTCTCCAAAACAGCTGTGGGCACTGAGGAAATTGAAGACTTGGCCCCAGCGTTCAGCACTTTAAATAAACATGAAAAAAAAAAAGTCATAACACAAACTGTGAAAGCATGTAATATAAAAGCTTCTACAGCTGTAAGGAAGAATATTACAGAGATAGTCCAAAGCTGATTCCCAAGTCACTTGTGGCTCTTTTACAGTTTATGTGTGGTGAAAGAGCCATTTCCCTCCACCTCTCTTTCAATGTCTCACTTAAAAATCCCTTACCTTGCACCACTCTGCTCGTGAGATGCCCAGGAAAGCAGTGGTGTGCTGTAAGTGGGCACACGAGTAAGAAGAGGGCTTCTTCATTCAGCCAGACTTGGGTTCCATGAGGACTAATCTCTGACTAGGGCAGGACTAAAAAAGTAAGGGGCCATGGGGCTAAGAAAATGGAGATATTCAGTGGTAGAAAGTCTCCCAAACATGGGACTTCCCTGGGGGTCCAGTGGTGAAGAATCCGCCTTCCAATGCAGGGGCACACGTTCAATCCCTGGTCAGGGAACTAAGATCCCACATGCTGCAGGGCAACTGGGCCCTCGTGCCACAACTACTGAGCTCTCACGCCTCAATGAGAGAGCCCACGTGCCGCAAAACTGCAGAGCCCTCGTGCTCTGGAGCCCGTGTGCCACAACTAGAGAGAGAAGAACCTGCACACCACAACTAGAGAGAAGCCCACTAGAGAAGAAGCCCGTGTGCCACAACTGTAGAGAAGCCCACACACTGCAAGGAAAAGATCCCGCATGCCTCAGTGTAGATCCTGCATGCCGCAACTAAGACCCAACACAGCCAAAAAAAAAAAAAAAAAAAGAAAGAAAGAAAAAAAAGTCTCCCAAACATATGGTCTCATGGGGACTGGAAGAGTATATCTACCACTTACAGCTTTAACCTCTCCAGCTGTCATTCTTTTCACCTGTAAGATAGGGATTATAGGGCTTCCCTGGTTGTGCAGTGGTTGAGAGTCTGCCTGCCGATGCAGGGGACACGGGTTCGTGTCCTAGTCCGGGAAGATCCCACATGCCGCGGAGCGGCTGGGCCCGTGAGCCATGGCCGCTGAGCCTGCACGTCCGGAGCCTGTGCTCCGCAACGGGAGAGGCCACAACAGTGAGAGGCCCGTGTACCACTAAAAAAAAAAAAAAAAAAAGATAGGGATTATAATAGTCTGTACTTCACAGGGTTGTTGAGAGGATTGGATGAGATGATGCATGGAAAGGATTTACCATAGTTCTAGGCAGATAGTATATTAGCCACCCTCACTGTCATTACCACTGGGCTCATGTATTGTACAAATTCTGTTTATTCTCTTTAAAACAAAGCATAATCAAGGCTTTCTGGCCATTGATCACTGACCCAGCAAGAGTTTGGGCTTTAAGGACCTGGGAGAACATGCTGAACAAGACAGGCAGGGTCTCTGCCCTCCCTGAGGGTTTGTTTTTTTTTTCTTGGCTGCGAGGCTTGCGGGGTCTTAGTTCCCCCACCAGGGATTGAACTCGTGCACCCTGCAGAGGAAGTGCAGAGTCCTAACCGCTGGACTGCCAGGGAATTTCCAGCAGAGGTTGTTCTTAACTCTATGCAAAATGTTCATCTCTGAACATTTATTACTTAGTAACTCAGGTTGCCTCACAGCGATGGTCCCCGCCCAGAAAATGAAAGAGGTTATAGTAAGGGGTGGTGTGGTGGTGGGGTGAAGGGCAGCTATGGAGCTGCTGGCAGAAGAATTTCACCCAACACCCTTGAGTGGGCCCTGCAGAAGGACTTCTGGCCTCTAGGGGGTGAGAACAATAAGTCTCACCATGTCAGGTAGGCACCAGGCCCTAAGTTCAATGTTGCCCCAGCGGCTAAGATCTCCCACAGTGGGTGGGGACAGCCACTGAGCTTCTGCAAGTGCCCCTCCTATTTCACATCCTCCTTCGTGCATCCAGGTCTCACACTAAACACAAACATGAGGCTGTGAAGGTGGCCAAGGACGGGGCCCCAGTCTGAGTCACTCACCAGAGGAAAGTCATCTGGGTCGATCCATACGATGCTTAGGTCAGGGTTGTCCGTGTTGTCCCGCGCAACCTGCTTCAGGATCTCCAGGAACTCATAGCCATCTGAAGCAGGATTCAAGAAGGTTGAGTAAGCCCTGTGCATATATGGCTTCTAATGTGGAGAGCAGAGTGCCGTTATTCCACAAGTGTTTCTTAGGCCATTTGGTGCATACCCTCAATTATAGGATTATTCTATAAAATGAGTCAGATGAGAACTCCAGCCACAAAGCAGCTTATTCAAAGGAAACAATAAACATTTTGAATAAAGAAATTGAAAGTTTCACAGGGAAGGGTCTGGTTGTAACTGAAAGCTAAATTGCATATGAAAATTGACCAGCCTTGTGTCAGAAAGTGCAACCCCAGAACAGAGAAACTCCTGTCTGGTCCTCAGTGCTCTGTGCCATCTCTTAAAACTGATAATTTATTGATACTATCCCTGAGAGTTCCCCATAGCATTTGCTCTATGGAGCAAGAATGTTTAGCCTGGATCCTTAGTTTTCTACAACCTGGAGTTCCCACAACCTTCAGACTAAGTGGGCTTCTGACTGACAGTTGGTTTCAAAGCTTTAAGATAGTAAATAGGGTTCCCTCCCCTCGTCACCATTTCCCTGCATGCTCTGCCATCCCTTTATTCAATTCGAAGCATTCATTGCCCCCCAGGGGAGGGATGATTCATAAGAAAAGCAGAGACAAGCCTCAAAGGACAAACTCATAGCTTCAAGAACACAGAAAGCCTAAATCTTGAAGAAATGAGAAAGTTGAACTTTATATCATAGACAAAAATTTTGGAAGAATGTCTAGTAAGAGAAAGGATAGCCTAAACCCTCAGCGTCTCTGCCCCACTCCCAGGTAGAAACAAAGAGTTTAGATTCTGGCAAGTCCCTGAGAATAAGCTCTGTGCCTGTGTGTATGCGTTTGTGTGTACATGTGCACGTGCGCGAAAGCAAGCCCATGTAGAGAAACTCCACAGTTTCAGGGAGTCCCAGAGTATAGGGGATTCGTGCTTTGTTCTAAAACTCATGAAAATGGAAAGACCTCAGATTCTCTCGGCGAATCCTCTGGTGCAGGAAGACTAGGGCAGAGAAGAGTGTGAGGAGGCCCCACCGAGTTCTCTGTGGTTTTGAGGAACACGGACAAGGCTAGTGGAGGGGGCAGATCTGAAGAAGTCCAGCGGTTGGGATGAAGGGGACCAGTGGTGACCCTGGCATAAAGCTAGAGTCCAGACAGAATGACGGACTTCTCTGCAGATGCCAGCATGGATAGGTGATGATGATAACTCTGACCAGATGCACACTTCACACATCATACATGAGAGCCAGCAAGACGCCGGATCCCGAGGGACGGTGGGTGGGGGAGGGGAGACCATTCATTGTCAGACCCAGTTTCCACCATCCAGTGGTAAAATCTAGGTTCAGTTCTAGAAGATAAAGTTGTATCTCTTGCATAGATGAATTTGTGGCCTGAAATTTACCTTCTATATAAGCAACTAACTCACCCACTACTTAGATATTCAGTACGGCAACTGCTCTTTCTTTGTAAAAGCTTCCTTCTTTTGATGGGGGCCCCAGCCATTCTAAGCCCCTCTCTGTGGCCTCTGTTGAACACACCCCTCCTCTCTCCGGCACCCTAGCCTTTGTTTGGCTACCTGGGGCCTCTTGGGAAAGGTTTTTCTCTGCACTTCCTCATGTTTAACATATTCTAGGCAAAATGCACACTCTTCTTAGGAGCTCTGCTTTGAGTGGGTGTAGCCTCTTTAACTGTGGCTAAATCACACTAAAGGTTCCGACTCGGCCCCCTCAGGCCTTGTTACCTGGAAGGCAGAGCTACCCTGCTAGTAGAGAAGAGGGTCGTTATGGCCTGCAGCCCTCTCCAGCAGAGATCCGGGTGGCCTAGGTGATTTTTCCATCTGTGCTCTGAACTATATGACAAATTAGATTGTATGACAGACACTTGAGATGGATGGGGCCTTGTGTTTCAGCGCTCATTATCTATTACTGTAGGGGTTGGGGTGGAGATGGGGGTGGAGGTAGGGATACTCTTCTTGCTGTCTGATGTGTGGCCGAGAAGGTCAAATCCCTCCAGAGTGCCACTGGCTGTTGCTACTTGGACACTATGGATCTTCCTTCTCTGGGTGTGTGGCCGTGTCACAGGACAGGGACTATGGTGCCACCTGGGTTATCTGTGGATTTAAGTATCATTAAACACAGACTGCAACAGGGGATTTCTCCTCAACAGCTTCAGTGGCTGCTTTCAGCAGCCGAGAAGAGATGAATGGCAATAAATAAGGTGATGTTGTCAGTACCCTGGAAGAGGAGAATCACAGGTGACAAGTCAGAAATTCACAAAGAGGATGAAACTCAACCACACACACCCGAATTCAGGTAGAAAGTAAACTTGAAGCGCAAAAGACTAACTCACATAAAGGGCAGGCAGAAACTGTCTAGATACAGTGTTGTAGAGGGAGAAGGTCTGAACGGAAGCCGAACACACAAGACGGCACTGTGGTTTTCTGATGGAAAAACCCACATAACGGGATTTATGAATAAGAATGTACATACAGGGATCGTTTCTATGTTTTAGAGCAGGTTTGGAGATAAAAAGAGAAAGATTGAAGGAACAAAAACTGGGTCCTGCAAGAAAAATCAAATGGATTGGAGTTTTTACATAAACAAGAGAAGTCAAAATTGTGGCTTAATGCCTATTTTCAAGAATACAAAAAGTTTTTGTGAGGAGGATGTTCTTTGTGTCTATGGAGGAGCAAAGCTCAAAAGACATGCCCAGAATAAATTAATAATTGAGTTGACAAAAGCTGGGGAAGTTTCTTCCGGAGTCAAGGGCAGCTTTTTGGTGTTCAGGATGATGGATTTTATAATGGGCATCATCCTTCTGCATCCCTGAATATTTCCAAGAACAGAACAGAACCTGTTCTTTAGGGAGGGAGCCCAGCATGATGTTTCAACACAAAGGACACTTGCGGCAAACAGTCCAAATCCTGGGTCTGCCGTTTAGAGTGTGACTTAGGGCAAGTTATTTAATGTCTTGGTTTCTCAACTATAAAATGGGGATGATAATAATAGTACCTATTTCATAGAATGACTGTTAGTTAAATGTGTTAGTGTCTCTATGGCACTTAAATGGTGCCTGGCACATAGTAAGGTTTAGCCATTATTCTTCTGAAATGCTCTGACATTCTTCTGCTTGAATACAAGGAACCTGGCCACTCATCTGTTCGTTCAATGCATATGTCTTAAGTGCAATGATCTGGGCACAAGGGGGCAGTTAGACACAGTCTCGGCCCCGTGTGTCAGAGAAGACATACTCCCAGGCAGTTACACCAGGAGGTGGTGTATCATGGAGCTATTCCTTCCGGGCCCTGTTGCTGACTCAGTGACTGAAGTCTGCAGGGGTGGCTGTACCAGGTGGTATGACTATGAGTACCTCGCCTCAGTACATGGTTAAAGCACGGTTTAATTACTTTGTTTTAAAGTCATTAAGCTAATTTGGACATTCCTGATCCAAGGCTCACAAGCCCCATACCTTTCCCCCCATTATTCCCCAGCCTTGAATACAGACCTGTTGGAATGGATTCTCATTCATCTGGGAAAGCGGAATTAAGGCAGTCACACTGGCCTCGCACGGATTCAGCCGCTAACATTTTAAGTTAGAAGTTCAGTTTCCTCTTAGGGACAGTAACTATTTCTTTGTAAAACAGGTGAGCTGGAAAAGGGACACGTCCACTGTGGACCCTCCCTTTTTGACCAGGAAGGCAGGTGTAGGAAGCCACATTTCACTTTTTTTTTTTTTTCACATTTCGCTTTTGTAATTCAATGTGAAGCAGAAGACAGTTCACAGTTGCAATTATATGAATGAATGAATGAATGAGTTTGAAATTAATGACTGTTTCCTTTATCAGTGATATACACAGCTAAGAGGCCTTTTAAGATTGTGGCCATGTAGTTCTCAAAAGGAATAGCCCATAATTTCTTTCAGAGGTAGGTTAAGAAAAAAAAGGAAATATTATTTTGAAATTTGTAGGCTAGCAGTTATTTCACCATTGAAACTAGAGGACAATTCTCTGCAGTCATTAGTTAGAGGAGCAGCCATTTTCAAGGCCAGAAGGGACTCCCAAACATCCCACAGATTCAGGCAGGTGTATAGCCCCACCCAGAACATTTGTCTGTCTTCTCTCTTGAATGTTTCCAGGGCTGAGCCCCTCGGACCTCCCTAAAGGTCCACTATAGAGTCAATAACCCAGACAGACAAGAGTCGTTTTCTTACATCCAGCTGAAATCTCCTTTTTTCTCAAGAAGATCGTCTCCCAACTTCTTCCTTTATGAACACAGGACATTATTGCTCTTTACATGCAGGAAGTCTGCGATCATGTAGCCCAACTTTGACTTTATGAGTATTTCTTGAGCTTTTACTGGCTACTGAGTCCTTTCGTATTTAATCTTCACATCTAGTCCTGATGGAGGTTAGGAAGATGTTTTTATCTCCATTTTAAAGAGGATGAAGTTGAGACACAGGGAGAGTACCTGACTTGCCCAGCATGACACGCCAGCAAGTGGCAGAGCCAGGATTCTAACTCAGGTCTTTGGTGTGCAGGTCGAGAGCCGTTTCCACAATCCACCTGTGGTCTCCACATTCCTACCAAAACTGCTGCATCTTCTTGCTCGAATTTGCGCTTGACAGCCCAGTGCCCAGTGTAAAAGTTTCAATGTGAGGGAAGCAAGGGCAGGGGCATGGGGAGACACCCGGGTGGAGAGGGGGGCTGGTGGCCGGCCCCTGCCCTCCCCCGGAGTAGTCAGGGTCCCTTCCCCTCCTTCTAGCCTGCCGCTAAGCCACACACTCCCCAGCTACAGCCTGTTTGGTTGGCTGTCTCAGCGATTTCCCTGAGTGCGCCTGGAATCTCAGAGGTGGCCCTAACTAAAGAAGAGGGGCCCGGTGCTGTGAAAGCTGTGACTCTGTCCCTGCCACACAGGCCTGGACCCTGAGATCCCACGACCCGGGGTCGAGGGCTCAGGATGGGCCAGGTTTCCCACGGCGAGCCAGAGACCTCTGGG